ATAAAAATGGAAGAAGATAATAACTAAAAGGCTAACATTGTAGAATGTAGAATACAGACAGGTTAAAAACAAATCACACAGAGTCAAATTTTGAACTGAATTCGAAAATGAACCGGGAGCCAGTGTAGTGAGGCCAAAACTGGTGTAATGTGCTCTCTTTTGCCTGTACTGGTTAAAAATTGGGCTGCAGCATTTTGGACCAGTTGTAGTCACGCAATGGAGGTCTGATTCCAAACAGAAGCGCATTGCAGTAATCAAGCCTAGATGTTATGAACGCATGGATTACTGTCTCAAGGTTATTTTTGCACAGTATGGGCTTCAGTTCATACAGTCGCCTCAGCTGAAAAAAAAAACAGGATTTAACAATTGTGTTTGCATGACTTAAGTTTCATGGAAGGATCATGATCGTCCCATTAGGAGGAAACAACATGACTTCAGTCTTCTTCTAATTAAAGCTTGAGAAATTTAAAGACATCCTGTCCCTGATGTCAGCCAGGCAGTCAAGAAGAGGTCGAATAGAACGTGTACCACTGTGCTTCAGAGGGAAGTAAATTTGACAGTCATTGGCGTAGAAATGAATGAGTATGTTTGTTATGTTTACGGAAAATAGCACCTAGTGGCAGCAGGAATAAAGAAAAGAGGACTGAGGATGGACCCCTGTGGTACCCCCAACAGAAGAGTTGCAAATAAGTTCAAATAAGAACAAACTTCAAATAAGAACAAACATTTTGGGAAATAACCTGTCAAATAATATTTAGAACAAGCTATAGTCATTGAAGTGTTAGAGGTAACAATGCGACAGGTTTTTATTTTTCAGCACTTTTATCAATACGTTTCACATTTTTAAACTATGACACTGAAAAAATAAACTTCACGTTTAGCCTTTTATATTTAAACAACCATGTTTTGTTTTTGTTTTTTGTTTTCTGAACTGAGCCCTACAAGTGAAATGTATTGTGATAATTCATGAAAAATAAAGACGTACCGCCGTAACGATGGAAGAATCCGTTGACTTTATCTCCACCAGTTCAATATCTGAAAGTCTGAAGGGAGGAAACGACTGGAGGAAAACAAAAAGGGAAACATTTTAGGAAAACATTCAAAAGGATAATTGCATAACAAACAAAAATTATTAAAATAATCCAATATAGAAAGGAGAACAAAATGAAAATAATCTGTTAAATAAAATAATAATACACCAACCCTGTGTGTTCATCACTGACCTCCATCTCAACATTTAAATTATCCGTTAGGTTCATTATCTGGGGGCAGTAGAGAGATTCCTCCTGGACAGACGGGTTTTGCTTGAGTTGCTGCCTGGGTTCGGTTTGGACCTCAAGCTCTTCGTCCTCCTCAGAATCAGAGGCCAGAGGATGCTCCAGATGTCTGGATCTCTGGGTTTGAGAGGGCGAAGAGGTTTATATGTAAGCTCCGAAGCTTCTGGGACTGGTGAGACAAACCTGGAGCTTTTTCGCTTCAGTCAAATCAGTCAAAGCTTCTTTTCTTTAATTATGGAAGAGTACCAACAAAATGATCAACTCCTTTAAAAGTAGACATTCACTGGGTCAGATTTCTTACAACTCTTCTGATGGTCACATAACCTGCTGGGTGTGGATGGAGAGAGTCAAAAGGTTTTATAGTCATTTAAAAAGATTTGGAAGTTGACCCCAGGGCTTAACAGCTAACCTAAAACAAAGTTTCCAACAGGGTGAGCAGTTGGGGTGAAAATTATTTTATTGACTGTAACAGGAGAACTTTTCTATTTCCTTTTTTTATATAATCACAACCTCTGATGAAACCTTACTATTTGTACATAGCTTTACTAAAATAATCTGATTAAGTGATTGAGCTTTCCCAGTTTAGCCATAAACATGTCCAGTGTTACACTTAAAACAGGTTTTTACACCTTTGTTGGGCTGTGATGCCTTGAAAATAATAAATTCAGATGAAATACGACTTTGTTTATATTGACTGATGCAACAACATAAGTATGAGTAAGGATTCTGAGAATAAAGTTAATATCTTAAGTCCAAACTAGTGTTATAAAGGTACACTTTTTAAGGATAAATATGTCTGTTAGTACTGTATAGTAGCAATAATGTAAACTAAACATTTTACACTGAAAGTTTGAATTAACTTCCTATAATTTAAAATCATTCCAGTTAAATCAAATTATGCACCCCAAACCCATAAATGTGTTTTCCCCTACAATACAAAATCAAAGAATTTAGATGAGCTATAAACCAATCACCGCTAATGCTGTACTGGAGTTTACACTGGGCAGCTGGAGGAGGACTGCAGCAGAACCAGAACCAAAGTGTGACATCATACAGCCACTGCCCTTCTGACTAGCTCATTTTAAAGAACTTCAACAATCAAAGCAAAAGTAAAGTCTTAGAGACATGAAGCATCTTGTTGGGACAGAAGTTTACTTTACAACAACCAACAACAAGTATGTACAAAAAAAGTGAGTTTTACTGGTTTATCCATTTCTTTAAATAGTTTAAATGCTACAAAGTTAATGTGTTGTAGCTCATGTCTTATATCGACATCATCATAGTGAATTTTAGCAGACTAAACATTTCTGTCATCAGAAAATGTGAAAAATGAGGATAAGCTTGTTTTTGTGTCACGGACACATTGATTTTTTTTTTCGTGCGACTGGTTTTAATGACTGTTGCAGCCGTACCTGAAAAACAACTCATCACATGATGCTCAGGCAGATCGTTTGTGCTTGATCAGGAGCAGACCTCAGACTGCTCAGAACGTCATGTTTCTATTTGATGTCACAGAGAACGCACCTGCTGAAGCGTGTTCTGGTCCAGTTTCTCCTTCGTCTTTACGCTCACGCACCTCTCCTCTGAAGAAAGCAGCTTCATCTCGATGTGTTCTGTGATGACCAGCAGCACAGCCTTGTTCACACCCAGTCTCATCCTGCGAGTCCACTAAAAAAACTGAATCTATTCTTCTTTTACATATATCCTATTTAAACATAATACAGTCTACTTGATCCGTTCATGTGTACTCTTCACATCCAGCTGAACACCAGGGCTCCCTCAGGTGAAGGTGGGCCTCCAAACATCTGAACAGCTGAGCTGTCATCAGCTCAAGCTGAGGTCTATCAGGGTTCAGAGCTCTCGGGCTGTGATTGGTCCTGCCGACTGTTCGGAGGTGCTCATTGGTTCAGGGCTCTGTGAAGAGCTGTTTGTTCAGCAGTAACTGACTCAAGGAAAATATGTGACCCTCTGTACTTCAGTTTTGATTTTTAAACACACTTCAGCGATAGAGCGATTATATAAATGTCCTTAGTCCATCTCTGTGTGCAGTTCCTTTCATTGATACTTTTTTACTGGAAATAATTGTCCTGCAGGCTACAACCCTGCTTTTACTTTGAAATTATGGGTTTTATGGTGAAACAGAGGCCTTATAACTTCTCCCAGTGTCTGAAATGTCCACCTTCAGAGATTCTTTGAACTCTAATAAAGTTTGAACTTATTGTTTGGGACGCTGTGTAACATCTTTAGAAAAGCACCAAAAAGTAGAAATAAATTGTTTACATCTAACAAAGAACATGGCTTAAAGTTTGTGGTAATTTTGGACAACTTACTCAATTTTGCAAACTTCATGAGTCCAAATATTATATTTTAACCAGCATTTCCAAACTTTTCAACCACAAAATACAAGTTACATAAGATTTGTGACCCAAACTATTACTGGCTTAGTTGATAAAAATGAACCATTTAGCAGTTTACCAAAGAGCCACAGCTGCCAATATATAATTTTTATTTATTTTTGACCACTGCTTCATCTCTTTGTTAAAGCTAAGGCTAAACACATTTTGGTATTTATGAAACACAAACAGAAATATACATAAATCTGTTTAAAACTGCACACTTCCTGTTTCCAGACCCATAGCGGGGTCCTAACACCATCTTTGGGGACGCACTGTTTTAAACAAAACTAACGCACTGTCTATTTGTTGTTTTGTGAGGAATGACTGGGAACTGTTTGCTTAAAGTCACATCGTGTCTTTCATTTATCAGATCTACACATTCAACAATCTGAAAGCAGAATTCAATCAACTGAAGCTCCAACGCAAACGATTGTGTTTTATCTGCCCCGTCTTGAGACTTAAACATATCAAGACGATCAATACCAACTCCTGACAAGGTCCAATGAGTTTCACCAAAACAAGTTGAAACAAGAAAAAGGCGAGTAATGGGATAAATGGGGACTTTATTTCTGTCTTGTGGGAAAAATTTACATTTCAAAGAGCAGATTTTTAAATAAACTGGGAAAATATAAATACAGCAAGAACGAGGCTATAAAATATGAACATCTCACCTTCAATTTAAATTATTTTAAAACTGTTATTAAAACCAAAACATCCAGCACTCGCTGAATTATGTGTAAAACTCTATTTTTATAATAAATAAAAACGACCACTCAGAAAACTATTTTCTACATCCAATGCAGCAGGAAAAAAATAATAGTATAAAACGTAATTAACAGTGTTAATAACATAACCAACATTTTATAATGTTTATCAGCTAAATTTCATGTTTCTCTGAGGTCTTACGGAGATTGAACACACTGAAAGCGTCCTCAGTAAATAGTAAAACACTAAACCCCGAACTGATTCACTGCAGATTTTAAAAACACGTTTGTGACCTTCCTGAAAACCTTCAGACGTTCAATCCATCATGTTGCTCTAAAGCTCCATCACGTGTGTGTGTGTTTCAGGTCAGCAGGTGTTTTTGGCTGCACGTCAACAGATGAGGCAGGAAGAAGGACGCCGCGCCGTCATCAGGCATGAGCTCCAAGAACTCTGCAGGGCTCGTCTCCATGGCAACCACGACCAGCGTCTCTGCAAGCATGAAAACCAGCATCGTTGCACAAAGAGGAAGTGATATGTTACCATTACTTCAAACCAACAAGTGACATAAACGTCAGTTATTCCTTAACTGGAATCAAAGCAGGAAGTTTTATTTGTTTATTTATTTATTACCGTTGAGAGCACTCAGCAGGATGCTGCTGTCTGCAGCTGCTCTCGTTCGATTACAGAGCTCGGGAAGCAGCTTCTGCCACCAGAGAGCCTGGAAAGATTCAACAAGTCAGACAGATACCAAACATGGGTGTAAAAATTAAAACAGACTCATGCTATAAGGACAGAGTCAGCCCAGCACGTCTTCTTTAAGCTCCGTAAACGCACCATGTGCTTGTCTTGTAAGTGGTGGTTGGCGTAAGCTATAATGGCCTGAGGACATCGGTCCAACAACTTCTCAATGCTGCTGTCGTACTGCCCCCTCCTGGTGGCACACAGGAGGTGCAGGCTGAAGCCCCATAAGGTTTCCTGCGAGAGAAGCTCCAACAGAGGCTCGATGGTTCCAACAGAGAGGGACGGAGCGCACAGCAGCGACTGCAAAAACAGTCCCAGGGAACATTACAATATAAAATACAGGAGGAGGGAAAATAATGTAACACTTAAAAGTAATCGTTTTATTTACTTGATTCTATTGTTTTAATAAAAAGGGTGAAAATTAAACAAATGCACTCTAAAAAACAATTTTCGTTAGAGACCAAACTGCACAAAACAAACGCAGTGATCCTTACCGTTACTTTGAGCTTTCCTCACACTTATTTTAGACTTTTTACATTTCTAATTGGCATCCACGCATCCACATCTGCACTTTCTGCCTTCATCACATCTCACAAAAAAAGTTTAAGCGGAAACAAACTGTGTTATTTTGATTATTTAACATATGTGTATTTAAAAGAAAAGCAGAAAACCAAAAGGTTGAACCTTCAAGGTACAAAGATGGATAGAGTCTTTACTTTTTTTTAACAAATGTGTGAAAAATAAAATCATCATTGAAATACTAAAAGCAAAGAAACAAAGCTTTTCAAGGAAAAGCTGGAATGGATTTACATATTTCTACATTTCCAGTTCAAAAACAATAATTTATTGTTAGCTGGTATAATATGAACGCTAGAAAGAATTTATTCACTCAAAGTTTTGCGGAACAAGTCACAGCACTACTATAAGAATTGTACAGCTCCACTGGATCATTCTTTATATTTTAAAAGTTCAGATAGCACACATAAGGCATCTCTTCTCATATGCAAGTAAGAACATGTTAAATATATCATATTTTTCGGCTTATAAGTCACGTTTTTTTTTCTTGCATAATTTGCATGCCCTGCGACTTATATGTCAGAGCAACGTATTTATGGATTTTTTTCCACATATTTATAAACTAATTTTTGGCTGGGATATGACCGTTTTCATTAATTCTAACTGAAAATATTGAACACTACCATCTTCAGCCACTAGATGGCACTCGAGTAGTATGGCATGCCATTGTATCATGTAATAGGGAAACGTGGCTATTAATGACTCAATCGGCTTGCCACAGCCTGCCACCTTTGTCCAGCTCGCCTGGAGCAAACATCAAATCAGCTTCATTTCGCTGCGCCGCCCCGGCGAAATGCAGCTAATTTGACCAATGAAGTGCATTTATTAAGTAAAAGTTCAACTGAGACACACATTTACTATACTGTCAAGCAAACAAATAATTGTTTTTAAGTGTTAATCTTGTTAAATTCTTGTTAAAGTCCTCCCGTGCACGCTCCCGCGGCCGCCATTTAGCAGCCAATCGATTTTTGGCACAACACCGGCCCACATTTCCTGGTTGTCAGCGGTGACATGTAATAGATGCGACATATACGGCGAAGCAACGTATTTATGGATTTTTCCACTTTATTAGACATATTTGGACTGATGCGACTTATAGAGTGGTGTGACATGTACGGCGGAAACTACGATACCTGCAGTTTAAGCAGCGCCTCCTGGTGATAGAAGCTGGAAGTTTGAGCTGGATTAAGGACGGTCAGCCACGGGTACAGAGCGCCAAAATGAGAGCATGAATTGATCTGAAACACAAACACGTTTCAACGTTATTCTTATACATTCAAACATTTTTCATTATAATTTGTGTAATAAACTGATGACGGTTGCACAGCCTGTTGTGTAACTAGAGGTATAAGTGTACCAGATCCTCAGCACTTTTTAGTGACTTGTGTTTGGTTGTGGCGTCACTGATCAGGCTCGTCAGTCGGTCGATGTAAACCGACGCCAGCCGAAACAGAAGCTCCTGAATGACAGCGTCCTGCGAGGAGGCCATCAGCATCGCTTCCCAAAAATCCACCTGTAAGCTGTTCTCACTACCCAACTCCTACACACACACACAAACATATTCACTGCTACTACATTCAGAGTATTTTAGATAAACATAGATTAAATTCAATCATTCAAACTTGTGCAAAACTTTTATATGAGACAGATAAGTATAGTGACAAATACTTTCAATCATAGCCGCTCTGCTAGCAGTGACACACACCTTGAATATGTGATCCGCCTGTTCCAGCTGAACTTTGCTGTTCTCATGTAAAGCCACCATGGCAGCCACGAGGAGTCCGGGTTGGGAGTTTGCCAGCTGTCGAGCCAACGCCGTGGGTCCGACCTGCTCGTTCTTGCCCCCTCCTCCACCATAAAGCAGCAGCCTTGGCTCCTCGATGAACCCGTACACCAGCAGCATCTGAAGGCATCCCCCATGACTTAATGCTCAGTGTGAAAACAATAACTCTGGTTGCAAATAAAAGTTGTTTACAAAAAAGAACGATCATGAAGCACATAAAAAGGGCCGTAAAAACTTTTCATTTAGAGGATGTAAAGTGCGTTCATCCTGACCTCAGCGTGCCGCTCCATCAGCTTTGTGTACTGCAACAGGTCGCCCTGGCGCAGCATCAAGGTTGCCATGGTGATTGTTAAAGGCACAGACACGCCGGCTGTGTCCTCCAGATGTTGTAAAATCTGTAGCGTCCGCGCAGCACTGATGTTCATCATGCACGGGCTGGCACAAACGTTGACAAGGCGCGAAGGCTCTGATTGGCTGAAAATGTTAATGACCTCATCAGCTTCCTCCTGTGGGGACATAGTAATGAAACAGCTCATTTTTGTTTCAATATTGTATTTTTTAGCTAAAAGAATTTGATCAAATGAATGATGATGACAAAGTATATAAATAGAAGTCTGAGTACAATTTCAGAGTTTTATAGATGTTTTGTACCTGACTGAGGTTCTCATCAGTTTCCTCTAACAGGTAATGTTTGAGATAAAACAGGAAGCCTGGCCCGTAGGAGAGCGGGCTGCCTGGAAGTGGGCGGTTCCTGGACGTGACTTCTGTGACCGACAGACCAGACATCCTGTAGTATGGCAATGCCAGGTGGCAGTTCTTCTGACTTCCCCTTGTGGAATAAAAACATTAAAAATTAAAGAAAACACTGTACTTCATATCTACTCAGTTTGCATTTCTAAACAGAATCAACATGATGGAAATCTGTTTCAAAAACAACAAACATGACGGAGTAATTATGTGTGTAATGTAGAAAATTATGTTTCTATGCGTTTTAAAGGATATTAATTTGTACAACCTGCTAAAATTGTCTCCAAGCTGCGCACAGTTGTGTCTGAACGCCTCCTCCAGCGCCCGTCTGTCAGAGTGAGCAGAGATCTTTCTGTCAGGGTCACCTTCACTTTCCTGCTGCTGCTCTGAGGACTGCAGGAAGGAGGCGCGGAGGAGGAGGTGAGCTTCACAGAGGAGGTGTTGAAGACTTTGGCCTTGTGGGTTTGTCTCCGTGTACGACTGACTGTATTCAACCTGACACACACACACACACACACACATAAAAACTCTTTAAATACGTCAGATTGAACAAGTGAAAAACAAACATCTTTAGAAACGCACATCTCTAAATATAGAAAATACTGAAAATGTTGTATCTAAAAAGGAAAAAAAATTGTTGTAGAACATTTAATTTCTCAAACTTTTGATCTGGTTTTGATTCACATTTTATGATAAATGTGTACTTTTGACTACCGTTCTGTTACTTTCACAATTTAGCTTGTTTTTTAACCTTCACTATTATTAGCTAGCCTTTAGTTACATTGAGCTCTTAGCCAGCCATTTGCTACATTTAACTTTTAGCTAAACTTTAGCTACTATGTGTAAAGTACCCCTTTACTTCTTTTAGCTTTAAGAAAGCATTTTGCAATTTTTAGTTTTTAACTAGCCTTTTGGTGCTTTTAGCCTGTAGCTAATCTTTTGTTACTATTAGCTACCCTTTTGATATTTTTAGCAACCATTTGCTACTTTTAGCTTTCAGCTGGTCTTTTGTACTTTTTATCTTTAAGCCAGACTTTTGCTACTTTTAGCTTCTACCAGACCTTTAGCTACTATTATCTAGCCTTTAGCTACTTTAAGTTTTAGCTAATCTTTTGTAATTTTTAACTAGTTTTGCTACTTTTAGCTAGCGTTCCTGATTTTTTAGCTTTTAGTTAGTATTCTGCTTCTTAAAGTTTCAACCACTCAGTTTTAGCTTTGGCAGCAGCCTCACTGCGTCTCTACAGAAAATATAATTTCTCAAGCTATGACAAAATTTTTTAAAAATACACCAAAGTAGTTTAGCTTTTTTGATCCCAAGTACTTCAGTCAGTATTTTTGGTGTTACCAAGTACTTCAGTCAGTATTTTTGGTGTTACCATTTCCTGGTAGAGGGTGAAAGGCGACACGGTGTCCAGAACATACAGGTTCCATCCATGTCCAGATTTACTGCTTTCTTTGGGGGAGGAGCTCGCCCACATTCTGCTCCTGGGCTCAAAAAAAACAACAAAAAAAAAAAACAATAGTAACAACAAGCAGAATATAACTTTTAAAAATCAGCCAGACGTGTTCTTATGATGGTGCCAGTTTCTCTCAACTCTACGAACAAGAGTTAACTGAACATGTGAAGTAACAGACTTTCAGTGGAGTGGTCTTCCAATGACACAACTAATGACATCCAAAATGATTTATTATCGTTTACCTGGTTATATTTTACAGTTTTCCTCCGCGGCAGTGAGCAGCTTTCACAGTGTTTTTCCATGACCCCATCCCAGATTTGTTTAAAGCATTAAAGCCTACATTTTCTCCACTTTACCATTTAAACACAGACGTTTGTCCAGTTCCTTGATGAGTAGTGTAAAAAAAGGTTGGAAACCAGTTCAGGGAAACGTTTAGATTTGATGAACATTTTAAACCATTTAGTCACAAACAGGGCTGCATCTCTGCTGCCGTTACAAACAACAGATACACACAATAACTATGTAAATACAAAACAGTTAAAACTAAGATTTGATTTTGGGAATAACAACAACACTAGACGTACATCATCAACTAGTAATGCTTACGGTTATCATGATCACAACAGGTGTGTCACTGTAAAACTTTGTGGGAAAAGCAGCCCGTCTGGTCTCATGCAGTTAGTTGACAGTTATTGAAAAGGTCAGAAAAATAAAAAACGGGGCTCCTGGTCCTTACATGATCCTTTTACGAAATACTAAAATATTTGTGTTGCCATTGAACCCCTGATTACGGAGGTGGGTAGGGGTTGTTGCACGACAGAAACATGCCTGAGCTGCCGCTCTGAAAACCAAATAAGTAAAATCAAGAATTCATCTGTGAAGTTGGCTTGGCCCTGTGGAAGGGAGGTTATCTTCCAAATGAAGGGTCAAGGGTTTGATCCCCAGCTCCTGCAGCAGGCTAAAGTGCATTTGGGCAAGACACTGAACACCCCACGCTCCCTTGATATTCTTATCAGCGTATGAGTATATTTTTCCTTTATATACCACATTTTCCATCCTATAAGTCAGTTTTTGGCATAATTTGCATGCCCTGCGACTTGTTTATGTTTTTTTTATTTTCCATATATATAAACCAATTTTTGGCAGAGATATGATCGTTTTCATTCATTCCGACATTGAAAATACTGAATACTAACATTTACAGCCCCTAGATGCCATTGTGTCATGTAAAAGGTAAAAGTAGCTATTAATGACACAATCAGCTTGCCATAACCTGCCACCTTCTTCCAGCTCTGGGATCATGCCTGGAGCAACCATCAAATCAGCTTCATTTCAATGCAGCTAATTCGACCATTGAAGTGCATTTATTAAGTAAAAGTTCAACTGAGACACACCTTTACTATAAAGTCGAGCAAATTAATAATCGTTTTTAGGCGGTTATCTTGTTAAATTTTGAAGAAATGCACAACGAGTCGTCCCTCTGTGCGCTCCCGTGAATCGGCTTTTTAAATGCAGCTGATTTGGACAGTCAAAGTGCATTTATTAAAAAAAAGTTGGACTAAGATACACCTTTACTATAATTTTGAGCAAACAAATAATTGTTTTTAAGTGTTAATCTTGTTAAATTCTTGTTAAAGTCCTCCTGTGCACGCTTCCGCGGCCACCATCTGGCAGCCAATCAATTTTTGGCACAACACCGGCCGACATTTCCGGGTTGTCAGCGGTGACGCGTAATAGATGCGACTAATACGGCAAAGCAACGTATTTATGGGTTTTTCCACTTTATTAGACATACTGGACTGATGCGACGTGTACGTCGGAAAATATGGTAATAGAGAACATTCTGAATGTGTGTGTGTGTGTGTGTGGGGGGGGGGGGGTGCTAAATGACAAAATTGCAGAACCCAGAGAAGGTACTAAATTAAGATGAACCAGTTATTAGTGTACAAGTTGCTGACAAGCTCCAAAAACATTAGCCCATGTTTAACGGATCACACAATTAGTTAATGAAAACAAGAAAAGACGCACATTTCCATGTGTTAGCAGAGTTACGGGTAGCTAGGCTCTAAAATGGAAAAGTGTTGTCTCTTTTAGCTCAAGCTGCAGCATCAAAAAGGAATTTATTTCACGAGTTACGAGAGCTCAATCTCTTCTTCAGTTTCCATCACGTTTTTTCATAAAAATAAATTCCTTAAAAAATAGCACCTTTAATGCAAATTAAAAAGGCCTTTTCAGCATTTTATACAATTTGATACTATGAATAAAGTCAGATTTGTGGTTTCCTAAATCATTATGAAAGTTTGTTTCCTCTAGTTACAGTAAAATATGCCTGTTAGATTTAGAAGAGCCAAACTGATTTTATTAGAAATGTAAAAAATAAATAAAGTGCCTCAACAAAAGCAAAATACCAGTGTAGCTCATAAACATATAAATTTGTGAGACTCACATTAGAAAGGAGAGCTGGTTTGTTCAAGGACGACCTGCTCTGGTGAATATTTTGATGGCATTGCAGCTTGGCCTGAAATTGACAACAAAGTCTGGGGAGGTGTGGGGGGGACGGGGGACGGGGGGTGTCTTACAGGAAGGGACGTGACAGAAGGCTCTCCAGAGCTGGTGAGGTTGCGGGATCGATTCCCACCGCAAGGAAAATACCAGTCAGCATGTTGTGTTCTTTTAACTCGCTAAAACAACGACACACACATACAGCACAAAGGTTTATGTACGCCTCTGGAGTCACATGACTCGTTCTCGTTCAGTGACCCCCTATCGTCAGCTGTGTGATGAGTCATCTGAGGGAGTGTTCACGAAGAAACACCTGAACTGTCCACGTTCGAACGTGTGCGACTTACAGGCTCCTGCGCTGCGTGACGCGTTCACTGCCCTCTGGTGTCTCCGTGTCAGCAGCAGAAAGAAGGACAACACGGCCGCCATGGACACACACCGACCTCAGGCCGATAAATAACTGCATCCTGAGCGCACACACCTCCAGGCTGCAGGGTGGACAGGCCTGTCAAACACACACACAGATGCCAAACACCGCTAAGTGCATGCCCCGTCATGAACAAAGTGATTATAACAATGTTCAATAGAAATCAGTACTGCGATATAAACACGTGTCCCAAAGAAATAGCCACAAGTTTTTATAAAACAAGCCTCTTTTTAGCTGAACTTTGTGGAACAGATGTGTTTTATACCTTCATGGTGGTGTCGATGTAGGGGTCTTCAATCCTGGCTGCCACAGCTGCACATCGAACTGTGAAAGACTGCAACGCATTCCTGGTAAAAAACAAAACAAAATAACACTTTTTGTGAAACTTTGCACCGAGTTCTCTACACTACGGGTGCAATTTAAAGAAACAAGGATGATTTTAAAATTAGAAACAAAGATGTATTAGTAAAGCTCAACTTTAAGTGAGATTTCAAATAAAGAGGTTGTACGTGGGGAAAGAAGACAAAGTCATTAATAAAACAGGACAATAAGAAATACACTCTGCAGCTTATGATTTAGATTAAATGATCTGTGCGTTCTTTGAGGGCCTACTTCGTTATGACGTGCAACAGGTGATCCGTTAGAACCGCCTCCAGCACCTTCTCTGGATACTGATAGGTGGAGAGCAGCTCCACTCCACCTCTCAGACTGTACAGGTACCCGGAGGTGGGGAGAGAGAAGAAACAGAACACGCAGGCTGGTTCGTCCACAGACACCGACTGGTTACCTGGAGAGAAGCAAACTCTTTTAGCAGATGCTCTAAATTGTATTATTGTTGAAATGTTGCAGAAACATGTCCACTTTAGTAAGTATTTTTAATATTTTGAAGTAAAATAAGCCTAAATGTAATGCACATCAACTTGAACAATTCCATATTGGCAGCACAAAGTATATTTGTATTCTTTCAAAGCTGCATTCTTTATTCTATAAACACAACACCACTTGCTCTTGTCAAGGGCGGATGCTTTTTTCCCTCCTCTGCTTTGCTTTGCTCTGTCCTGTCTGTGAAACTGCTTCAGAGCCTCTCTCTACATATCTTCCGAACTGTAATTTATGGATCTGGTCAACTGGTCTCTCAACGCAATTGATAAAATTTTCTCGACGAGAAGACAAGCTTCAGGCGAGCCGACTTGTCCTGATGACACGCACGCAGCTGGATATGTCATGCATTCCTGGGGCGATTGGAAGGTGATGCGTCCATCTCTGCTGTCCATCGAGGATGTTGAAGACACATATATAATTGGATTCATGATAACAGGTTTCCTGCCTTTTTGTATTGGCTGGTTCCTGGTTTATGAACAAACAAGGAAGTCGTCAGCAGCAAATTTGGCCCTGGTCAGGCTGCCCGCCTTATGTGATGGTTTGCTCTGTGCCTCGAGCACCCAGACTCAATTGTTTTGCAAACTGAACCACAAATTGGATGCAATTTGTGAGAATTGCAAGCCGCTTGCGGCCCCTAGGATTCGCTGGCAGGATGGCTCAGATCTCGGGGAATACTCTCAGGCACGGATCAGTGGTGTGTCCACTTAATTTGGACATTTCGGGATCTCCGTGAGGACCAGCAAAGACTCAAAGCAGTGAAGTTCTGCCTGTCCCCAAAACAAATGTTTGTCTGAATTTGGCTCCCCGGCTGGCCTTGACCTTATCTCAATTCACCAGGACGCTCTGTAAATCGACGCTCTGCCCCCTCCCACTAAGGAAGTCTGCGGACCCATCAGAGGAAACCGGCTGAAATAACATTGTCATCATTTCAGGACTCTTGGATTCTCCCTGGCGCTGTCCTAGATCGGGAACTGGCTGATTACACCATTCTTATCAGAACTCCTACAGTGCCTCTGGAGTGTCCTTGGACATGCTCACCACCCTTGTCATCTCCCTTCCTCTGCGGAATGTCTGTCTCACTATGTGCACTGTGTTTTTTCAATTTCAGGCCATCTTTCCTCGGCCATGGAATGAGAGTCTATTAGGAAATCATTTTTTGCCTTTAAATCCTATACACGTCATCACTTTCAATACTTTTTTGTCTGTCTAAACAGATCTCACTTGTAAATGAGTCTTCGAGGCTCAATGTGATTTACCTGTATAAATAAAGGTTGAATGAAAATAACTAATTTCAGACAGTTTGTCCGTAAGTAACATGTTGAACTCACTGGTGAAGAGCGGGTACAGCAGCAGCGAGTGCAGCTGCATCTCCTCAATGCTGTAGCCTTGAAAGAACTCTGGAGAAAAACGCCTGCAGGAGGGAAGTGATACATTTAACATCACACCACAGTGCTGAAACATTCTCATATTAAAAAAAATGTAAACACCTGAAAAGAACGTAGGACAGTGCGTAGTGTCTCCTGTCCTCCAGTCCAGTACTTTCAACGCTAACAGGGATGTCGCAGTCTTTAGCAAGATTACCCAGAAGCTCTTGGTGTCTCGGAATGAGCAGAAAATCACTCTGGTCTTCTAGATAATCTGCAGCACACACGAACAAATTAATACGTTTCATTGCTTGTATACTATACTTGCATCAAAACAAAACAAATAAATAGCACTAAAAAGTAATTTCTTTACTGTTCTTAAACATGTTCGGTGGTTCTTCTGTGGTCGCTGGCTCTGATGTTGTTTCCAGTTTCAGCACCAGAACTTCCAGCTCTGCCTGCACCGCCACAAATCCTCCACACAGCGCTACCTGGAAGGGTGAAGTGACAAAATTTTATTCCTTTCACTGCGCAAAAAAAAAAAGATATCCTTAAAAAAGATACTAGAAGCAATAGTTAAAAATGTTTTGCTTCTTTGTACGTTCCAAATGTATATTTTTGTAAATATTGTACTGTTTCCCTTCCCATGACCCTACAAGAAGTACCTGTTGGTGCTTGCCAGGCCAGCACTGATATTATATATTTTATTATTTCTTCATATTCAGAAAAGCTTTCAGGAAGAGAGAGATCTGTCTGTGGAGAGCTTTAAGAGTTGTATGTTGGTTTTGATTTGGTTTATTTCCTCTTTTTGTGATTTTATTTTAGGTGTTTAAATATTTCTTTTGAACTGACCCCACCGAGCAGGGATGCTGAATGCAGGTCATCGTCAATGGGGCGTAGAGGTGATGTGGTATTTTCCCACTTGACTGGAATGTTTTCACACTGTTTTTTTCCCGCCACATGCAAATAGCGACCCTACTTGCAAGGTTGATATCGATAATGTGATGAACACCCATGAACAGGGGTGTATGTCCGAAGATCTTTGGTCAAGGATTATGGATGTTTTATCACTACTGTATTTTTCGGACTATAAGGTGCACTTAAAATCCTTTAATTTTCTCAAAAATCTACAGTGAGCCTTATAATCCAGTGTGCTTTATGTATTAATTCTGGTTGTGCTTGCTGACCTCAAAATGATTTTATGTGGTACACGGCACTCAAAAATCTCAAATTAACTTGTTTCGTTTAATGCGCCTTATAATCCGGTGCACCTTATGTATGAAAACAAACCTGTTCTTTGATATTGTGCCTTTGATGCACCTTATAGTCTGAAAAATACGGTACTAATGTTAACTTTGAGTTGCCCGAGAATTATTTTCTCTCTCAGAGAGGAGCTTATTTGATCCTGCATGTGCAGCTGGATGGAGGCCGAGGTCATCAGGGCCTGCCTCTGAGCGAAACGTGATAAGCATGTATATAAAACAAACCTCGCACACTGCCCGGTGCAGATTCTCGTGACTGGGCTCCATGATGTAGAACTTTTTTTTTACATTTGTGTAACCTGTTACTGAAAGTCTGCAGTTGCAAGTGAACCCGGTTAAAAAAAAATCTTCTTGTGTCTTTGAGTGTGGCTATTTTGAGTAAGTAAGATGAACAGAGGATATTTTTATCCGACATAAATAAGAATGTGTTCTTAGTGTTAATGCCTGGTAAAATAAAGGTGCAATGAAAAAGAAATGTGGTCACAAAGTAAATAACGCAACAACAACAGAGGAATTTGAAAGAATTGTGCAAAGTCAAACCCAAACTGTGAACTAGGCTGGAGGTACCTGCTTAGGGGTCATTGATGGAAGATGCAGGATGACTGATCGTTCAAAGTCCAGGAGAGAACCTATAAACCAAAAACATATTTAGATCCAAGAAGCAACGCCACAACATTTTGTGATTATTAATATACAGATTTTTATTTAATTGAGGAATTGTAAAACAAAAATATATTTCTTCCATGGCTCATTTCTTGTTTTGGACATTTAAATGAAACAGTCAAAAGAAGTTCTGCTACTTGAGGACTTAATTTGTATGTTTTTCATGTTTGCTTCACTTGAACCAACACTTTGACGTACCCTGACTCTGGCTGCAGCTCTGCTGACTGTTTGACCAGGAGCTCTGGAGGTTCTGCTGGTTCTGACAAACATACGGTTATATTGACACATTGTAAAGACGAACAGTTTAGCTAATAAAGCCACACAAGAACTTACTAAACTGCTGAATTCTTACCAAGTTCTGCTGGTTCTGTCTCTGCAGGGTAAAAAGAACCAGAGTGTTCTCGCAGCCGACCAGGAGGTTTCCTGTTATGGGGCAGCACGTGACGGCGACGGGACGCTCGGACAGAGGGATCTCGATGATCTCCGTCTGAACTCCGCCCCACACCGACGCTCCACGCAGCAAGTGGCCCAACAACCGAACCCCGACACGAGCCTTCTCCTCCGCCTGGACAGAAGAAACAAACAAACCGACGATGCAGATTTTAAAACAAAGATAAGAGGTTTTTTTTGTTTCTTACTAAAGTGATAATAAGTCGGTTTCTGAAGTGTTTTATGCACCTGGTAGCGCCAGTTGGTGTACGCTCTCAGGTAGGTGGCGCTGTTCTTTTCTTCAATAGTTACCAAGTAGTCTCCTGGAGGAGAGACAAAAAACCCCCAAAAAACATTTTTCATTCAACCTTTATTATAGTGAGTTGTTCAGTTTTAATTTTAAATGAGACATTTCAGTAATTGCATGAGGAGAAAATAAAAACCATTTCCTGTGTTTCTATTATGGAGGACTGGAGGAGGTGACTGTACCTATGCTGCTATGCTGGATACTCCTCACAGTACCCATAGTGGCAAAACGACAGATAAAAGGACAGACCTCCTTCTCCAGACTGTACGCCTCCACCTTAGTAAAAAAAAAAAGTCACAGGATGTTGAAGAGGTTGTTCCTTATGCTTTAAACTTAAAAGCAGTGAAGTAGAATTAGAAACAACAGAAATGAATAAAAACCTTGCACCCTCCAGAGGCCACCACAAATAGGGCTCCACCTCCACAGCAAACCAGCCCAGGTTCCTGCTCCACCTGGGCGACAGAGGGTGGAGGTACTTAAGACTAGTGCCAAACCATCAACATGAGAAAACCCAGTCCCGTTTCATTTACCTGGACGATCTGCTGCGAGGCAAAAGGATGGCAGTTGTAGACGTGCACCATGTTTGCTCCTTCAGCCGGGGCACAAATGTAGATGTTTACTACACGGCCTTTCACTCTACTTGTCCAGAGGCGTCATTGATCAGAAAATAGAAAGAACCTGCAAATAAGTCATGAATCAAATAAATAGTTGTTGCAATTTTATTTCCCAAATAACCAAGAGTGGGTTTGAAGCATTTACTGTGAAAATAATCCCATTCATATACAAAAATGGAGAAAAATGCTTTGAAGCATGCACAAAAAAACAGATTTGTTTTTAGGTGGATGCTGTTGTGTATTTAATATTTTGATGCTCTAAAATACTAAATCAAACGTTTTAACAATTCATAAACCAAAAGAAGATGAACTTTTTAAAAACTCTGAACCTATTGGGTCACTCCAATCTTCATTATGACATAAAAATTGTGCTGCTAAAGCTAAAGAGTCAAAAACCTAACCAGTAAAAGAGTACAGGCTGAGACAGGCCGGGCTCTAATCGATATCACATGCTCTGCTGCAGTCTTGTGATCAGCACACGTTCTGCCTGTTTAAACCTCGAATCTTCTCTGTTTGACTCTTTAGCCTGCTTATTGATCCTCGAGTTGCTTTAATTAATGATTAACAGAAACTCAAAGGCAGATTTTTACCTACATCGATGACAAATCTTCAGCTTCTTGTCTCTTCCTCATCCGGGCTGAGAGCAGTTTATCGATTTCACGCTGCAAAGCAGGAAGTGGATTCCTCAACCAAAACAAAACAAGGCCCGCCCACTCTTACTTCTGATTGGCTCCCGAAGCTGCTTGTTTGCGTCCGTTAATCTTATTGGTTACTGAGCTGTCAGAAACTAATGACAGCTAAAAGAGCAAAATAGAAGCTAAAAGGATCTAAACAGGAGCTAAAAGGAGCAGAAAAAACAAACAAAAAAATAAATAAATAAAGCAATTTGCTCTAGTTGACTTTGAAGAACAATATTTCTGAAGGAACTGCAAAGATCTCAATATATTTCAATGGGATAATACTTTGAAATGTTTGAAAATAATGGTAAATGTTTTACAAAGCATAAATGTTGCAAGTAATAAAAGTCATAGCTTACTATTAATAAATGAATTGAATGGTAAATCTGTGGAAGTAGTCTGGATATGAGTTATTGATGGAAAAAACTTAGAACTTCTAGTCTTTTATTAAGGTTTTGTTTGTTTGTTTGTGTTTTTACATATTGGCACTATCATTCTGTAATGTAGTTCTATGTTACGTACTAATGTGGCCTGAAATTTGTTTACACCAGACAAGTGTGGATTTAGTAAAACGTCTTGATAAATGGAGAAGAAGGAGAAATCAACTTCCCTCTTTGCAAAAAGTGTGCAAGCCCATGATCCATCTCTGATGCTTCCTGGTCTTGTAGCAAATCCAGCGACCTTTGTTCAGGTAAGCTGGTTTAACAACCAAAGAGGTCAGGTAATACTGCCCAGACGCTAACAGACACCTGATCCACACAAGAGGTGAAAGTTAACGAAACAAGGAATTACATTTCCAAAAACTTGCATCCTTAAATAATGTTTGTTGTCATCTAAATAAAGAAGTTTTTTTTTTTTTTTTTGCATTAAAGAACCCCCGTGCAACATGTGATAACTGTAAAACAAGCCTAAACATGATAAAGGTTTCTACTTAACCCACAATAATAAATTGAACAAGTCTATTTGATGACAAGTCAGGGCCCTTCTTTAAGTCTTTTGCTTGCCTCTTTCAAACAGACTTTAAATTTATAAATATAAATACATTTATGACATTTCTCTTTATTTATTATCTCACCTGAAGGCAGAAACTGGAAGGAAAGATTTCTTAAGGTGGACTGGTGTTTTAGCTCCAGAGTTAAGAGAGATATAAGATGTGTTGTTCTGTCAATGATTTATATGTTGTTGTTTTTTTCCCCATTGTGATAAAATTCTCATAAATTTACATCATATATTGGTTTATTTATTCACTATCATCAATAATCTAATTGTCATTGTCAAACTCATAACATATAGTAAAATTTGACAACTTAACCATTAGTTTTTTTTTCATATATGTATATTGTTTGTGTGCTTTTTGCCTTTTTTCAGGTTAAAAGGAGAAATTAATGTTTAGCATTTGAAGCTGTATTTCCTCTTATGCATTTCTTGAAAAATACCACACGAGGGCAGGAGTTTAATGTGTTCACACACACATCCACAAAAACACAACGTGCCTTTTCTGTTTCAAAATTAATTAAAACTATGCACATCTGAATATTAATGCTTTTGTCTGAATAAAATATTGACCTGTTATTTTTATGAAAATTTTATTTTTTAGCTTCCTTAGAGAAAGGAAGTGTTTCAGTTTAAAGAGAATGTGGTCAGACTGCATTTGATTCTAACTTAACAGTAACAAAATGTTATTTAAAATCTGAGAAACAAGAGTTTAAGTTTATTTTTATACTTAGTTTTTGCTGAAGAAACAGCAGTGCACATTTAAATAATTTATGCTTGTTCTTGTTTATGGGTCTGAATATTTAAAATTTAAATAGTTATAGTTTGAATCCCTTTGTTGTTGAAGTAAAACTTTGGAGTAAAATTTGTCACAATTTTAGTTCAAAATCCAAAATGTGCAACTTTTTTTATCCCCACATTTCAGTTTCTTTAAACTCAGACCAAGCAGAGGATAAAAAAGCATCAGTTCTTCAAAAAAGGTTAGGGCTTCTTCTTTTTTTTTAGATAAAAACATTCCCCTAGGCTAAACTGCATGAATTACCACTGGAATGATAATGCTAATTAAGCCTTGATTTAATGAACATCCCCCACCGCATCCTGCAGTGCATCACTGACCTTTCACCACCTTACAGTATGATGCTCTGTGGAATCATGCAGAGCTGAAGTTTTATCTCTGTGCAGGAAGGCAGAGACTCCTCCTGTATCTGTGGGGTGTGGTGATGTCTCTCTGCAGGCTTCAGCTGAGGTGTCGACACTCATCCACCGCCGGCTGGACTTTGCAGAGCAGCTTTCAAAAAAGGAACATCATACTGAGGGGATGTCTGGGGGGGTGTCTCACCAGCCCCCTTTTAGAGTGCAGCAGCTTTCTGCAGCCCCGAGTCTGACTGCCAGTCTGCAACTCTCTCAAGGTAAGACAGATTGTTATTGTCAATATGAATTTCATGACTTATACTTCATCGCTGCTTTGATCAGATGTAAAACATCGCTGGAGCCTCTGACTGGATACAGTCGTGTTGTACTTTTTACACAAACTGTCAGATTTATAACAAAGTTTACCTTTAATATATATTTAGACTTTTTATAAAACTTCAAAATATTCAATTTCAAAACATTAATATTGATCAGTTTTATCCTGAACCTGCAGACTTTTTAATGCTGCAGTCAGCTTTCTGAGACAAGAACTGTATAGAGTTGGAAACTATAGAAAATAAAATAACAACAATAAGACTATTTATTTTACTTTACACGTTTTGATGAAAATTCTTCCATCTCTTTGAGCTGTTAAAATTAAGATCATGCCTGTTTTTTTTAAAGAACGAAGAAACCTGAAAATTATATATATATATATAAAAACATCTTAAATAAACTGAAGAGGAGTAATTTTTTTAAGCCCTAAGAGACAAAAGAAGAAATGTTGCTGCAGGGTGATGTGATGTCTGCTTGGAGCAGAGACTTTGTGAAAAGATGTTACTGTTTCACAGAAATGAGATGTTTGCTGTTATGTGGCGTCTGAGCTGCAAGCCCGGCCACGCTTGATGTGCACCTGCATGTGAGAAGCTGACATGAGAGAAGCATATCACTGTTACAAACCTCCTCTGGCATGTCTGCTCTCACATAAACAACACAAACACAAATGTTGCAACGTTGTTTCAACGCTTTCTGGACCATGGACTACAAGATAAACGCATTTCCAAAGATTTGCTGACAAAAATGACCCCAAAAAAGTCTACATTAAAAACGAGAAATCACTGGACCTGCTATATTCAGCTGCTTGGGTCGTTTATGGAACCCGCAGGTGAACGTGTCTGAAGACAGCTTCAGACACGTTCACCTCACGCGCTCCTAACCACAGGGAGAAAATGATACTTCACCTGCGTCACGTGATATTTTCTCAGCTGATAAATGCAATTCTCATGTTTTTTTCTTCCATATTGTCCCTATCATCATCAGTAAACAAGGTTTGTGATCCCAAAATTATGTTGGACTTTATATGTTAGAGGTGTGTTTCTGTGCTTTATTAACACGCCACACTATAGACAGAAAATCAATAAAATGATGGTGATAAAAGCACAGTCAATATGGATATTGTCTGAAAATCTAGCATCTGAAATGAGATTTTTCTTTTCATTCATTTTGATTGTGTTCAGTGCAATTCAGTTTATTTCTATAGCACCAAGTCACAACAGAAGTCCTCTCAGGGCACTGAACAGAAACATTCACATATAAAAATAATAAGTTAACATTATTTATCTGAGGAGCAGACTGCTTTGGGTTTAACTCCATCACAGACTCTCATCTTGAGTAAGCATGAATGTGACAGTGGAAAGGAAAAGCTCCCTCATGAGGAAGAACCAGGCTCAGGACAAGCGGCCATCTGCTTTGACCAGCTGGGTTTGGTAGGAACAGATACACAATGGCAGGTCAAGAATCACATGTTAAAATAGAAATAGTATCAAATGAAAACTATTCAATTTTAACAATTAATTTAAAGAAATGAGGTCAGTTTGTCCTCTAGTAGTTTAAGCTTAAGGCAGCACAACAAGCCAACCCTAACTATAGGATTTATCAAAAAGGAAAGTCTTAAGCCGAGTCTTAAAACTGGACAATGTGTCAGCCTCACGGACAGAAAGTTGGTTCCACAAGAGAGGAGCCTGATGACTGAAAGATCTTCCTCCCATTCTGATTTTGGAAACTCTAGGAACCGCGAGTAAGCCTGCAGTCTGAGAGCGAAGTGCTCTGTTAGGAAAATATGGAACAATAAGATCTCAAATTTGAGATGGAGCTAGGTTGTTGAGG